TTCAGAGTTTTGAGTTGGTTCTAAGTATATGTATAATACTCCTCTAGTTCTAAATATAAGACTCATATGCTAGTGTGTATAAGGATCTTATATTTAGAATCAGAGGAGTATTTCATTCTCTTTTATATTCTATGTTAAATTTTCTCTCGTGATAGCATTATTTATTAGAGTTTTTCTAGCTCTGTGCATTAAATTTTAGTTATTAAATGGCAGGAGTGTTTTTGAAAAAAATATAACAAATTTTATATACATATTAATTAGAAATAGCCTTTTTTTTTTTTCAGCGCTACAAATTACTCTGTCTTGTCCTTAAGGATGGAAATACATTAGACGTCTTTCAAAAACCTACAACCTAGCCTACTTGAAGCATAACCTAACTTATTTATTAAATAAGTCAGGTTCAAATTTAGACCTACTGTGAGCCTTATTTTTATAAAACTTAGGGAGTGCTTGGTAACGCGAAGAATGATTTTAAAAAGTATATTTATATAAAACAAAATAAATTTTTTTATATAGTTATTTTTTATATTGTAAAAGTACTTTTAAAATTATAATTTGGTTTCTATCCAAACACCCCTTTAACTTATAGGCCTATTAGTTTTGTTTATATTCACATATTGACCCGAAGTATTCAACTTGTTCTGTCCCCATCCTGGTCAGCTTGGGATGGGATGGGACAAAAAAAATTTCGGGATAACAATCAACTTTTAATTAATTTTGTCTATATATTTGTGTGTCTTAATTAATTTTTAACCAATTTTTATATTTAACAAAAATATATTGTCTACATATTTATGCGTTTTAATTAATTTTTAACCAACTTTTAACGTTACGTAGTTCGAGTAAGATTTTATATTTATTATGAGTAAGCCTAACAAATCATGGAATAGAAGATCAAAACTACAAAGTAATTTCATTCTGTCGGGACTATTCAACTTGCTTTTGTGGATATTAAGAGAATGAACAAAGATTTACTAAAAAACAGCATGATTTTAAACGGTGTCAAAGATACTTTTGCTTTTCCTTCTTCTCTTTCTTCATGACTTAAATAGTTAAATGGAAGAGAAGGTCCCAAAACAATTTCATGCTTAAAAGCGTTACCACTTTTAAGTTTTACCTAAGATTTCATGATTTTTAAATGAGTCACGTGCAAAAGTTTATTATTAATTTAAATTTTATTAAGGTTCTTACCCTTTTTAACAAAATTTTAATAAAACTTTTAAAGTTTTGAAATCATTGATGGTCTGTAGACGCATTTAATGTTTGGTAAGGTAACTCCCACTTACTAAATATGATTTTTTTTTTTAAATTAAGAGTGGGTTACAAAGTGTATAATCTTCATTTTTTTGGACCAGCAAGTGTATAATCTTCATACCCCAGTCAGCTTCTACCTTTTAAAATTAAGATGAAGATGTACAGTCTTAATAATTCACCTTTCTATTTGTATATCTATATTAATAATTTATGTTTTTTTTTTCCATGAAGGAGGCCAAAATTGAGAATTTGGGATGCGAAAAGCCTTCAACAGTTCCTCCACCTAAAGAAAGGTTCTTTAATCTCAATTTTCATTTTTCAGATTGTTTTTTAATGTTAATTATTCTTTTGTAGGGCTATTAATTATTAATTTTCTTTTAAAAAATTAGCTGCTAACTAATTTACACGCAGTTTAGGTCACCTCGATCTTTGTTTGTCAATTTATAAATTTTATAGGTGAATAATTTATAAATATTTTTTATATATGTCAATAAGATTTATCTAACTTTCATAGACTCTTTCTCATTAGGGCTGTTTACATTATTCCACTACTACACAACTTGCCCAGAAGTTTTCCTTTAATCTCGATATTTTCCCCTCAAAATTTAAAACTTCATCTTATTTATTCTTTTTACATTTAAATTTACTGAAACATATGACGGAATATTAGATGAATAAATATAGAGGTATATAGAATTCAGTAAAACTTATGAGAAGAATTAAATAGGGAAAATTGCAAAAAAAGACCTTGGAATTGCAAAAACGCAGATAGGGACCCTTGACAACTTCACTTTGGGTTTTGACAACTTCAGGGCATATTATTCTTGTCAAAACCCAAAGTGAAGTTGACAAGGGTCCCTATTTGCGTTTTTACAATTCCAAGGTCTTTTTTTGCAATTTTCCCAATTAAATAAACAAAAATTTACTCAAAACATAAGAATTAGGTAAAATTCTAATAGAGTGATATTTGAATTTGCAAATTTCCAAATAGTCGCTTAAACTTACAAAATTCTAAATTAGTCATAATAACTAAATTGGAGTTTTGAAATATTGACCAATTTACAATGTTGCCCTTTAATTCTTTTTGAAAATCCTCAAGTCACCCTTGTTGGCTGCTGAAGCTCTAGTGCTGGTAGCCAACACCAGAGGTTGGGTGGCCCTTGGTTATTAGAGTTCCGACCGTCGGCCAATGACCTTTGACAACCGATAACTATTTATTGGAATATTTTTGTTAACTTTTATAATGTGATATCATGACTTCATTAATACTATTAACCACATGTGGTTAAGATAGTAATTGAAATTATAAATATTGTTACACGAGTTGTCAATCACATTCTGAAAGTTGAAAAAGTTTTAGTTTAAAAAGCTGCAAAAACACGTGGTTAAAAGCATTAATGAAGTTATGAATATCATCACAAGTTTTGTTAATCACGGTATGAAAATTAAAACAAAAATCACAATGAATAGTGTCAATCACCGGAGCTCTGGCCATCAGTCACTGATCGACCACTAGAACTTTGATGACTAGTTGCTACCTGACATTTGGAATTGGTTGCTGGCACTAGAGTTTCGGTGGTTGGCTTGCTAGTAGAGGTGACTTGGTGTTTTTTTAAAAAAAAATTAAAAAATAAAGTTGTGAATTAACCAACATTTCAAAATTCAAATTTAATCATTTACTGATTTTGCATTTTACAATTTTAAGTGGCCATCTGGAGATTTGCAAATTCAACTGTTATTTTATTGGCTCGAAGGGTTATGACTCATGAACAATATATTAGTCACTCTCAATAAATTTTGTTCTATCTCTAATTTAAATGCAAAAACTAGTTCAACATTTGGTTTCAACTTTTAATATTGAATGTTTTTTTTTGGTGAATTAATATTAAATGCTTGATTTCATTCTTTTATAACTCCATCATATTTTTCCAAATTACTCATATTAATTGCATATATTAATTTATGTAATCATTATAACTAGTTTTCAAGAATTTAGATGGCGGTAAGAGGTGGGCATAATCTTTAAAAGGCTCAAACTAATCTAGTATCCCAAAATATTTTTTTAGGTGTATCTGGTATCTTAAAATATTTTGTAATGCATCTAGAATCTTGAGATATTTTTTTAAGTGTATTTAGCATCCTAAAATATATTTTTTTGATACTAGATGTATCAAAAAATATTTTTAGTTGCTAGACACATATAAAAAAAATACTTTATGATATTGGATATATAAAAAAACACTTCATAATACTGGAAGCACTTAAAAAATATTTTAAAAAACTAAATATAGTATAAAATATTTTAGAATGCTGAATATACTCGAAAACTATTTTATAGTGCGGAATATATGTTAATCCTATTTAAAATAAAGTTTTAACCCGCATTAATTCAAGTTAAATGATTTTAGAAAAAATGGGGAGTGAGACAAAGAAGACACGGAAAGGAGGGGATCCAAACAGAGAAAATTATGAAAAGGGCAATGACGAGTAGTCAAAACACGAACATGAAAAAAAGTACGGTGGAGCAGACACAGGCAGCACCATTATTATTATTATTATTATGGTGGTCCGATTTTAACAAATCTTATTAAAAAAATTGCAAAAAAAAACCATAAAAATTACAAAATTGTAAATCTGTATTTTGTCAAAAAAATGTTATAATTTATAACTTAATTGTTGTGAAAACCTATAGGCAATAACTCGATTTGCGATTTTATAATTTTTATGGTATTTCTTGTGATCTTACTTTATATTATATATATTTATGTTGTCCTCTATCTTTTTAATTTGCCATATCTGGAAAATTCTCCCCTCCACGTGTACGGCTGACATTGCTTCTCATGTCTCCTCATTCCCCAATCCCCACCACTCAGCTGCTCCCTTCAAAATTATTCCAGCCTTTGACGCCCCAAAGCCCCAAAGCCTTTGACGCACACAAAATATTTCCAAAAAAATATAAGAAATATTAATATCAGGTGTAAAAATATGGACCTATAATTAAAATTTATTATTATACCACTCTTGTCTGATTTTTGACATATCAAATAGAGCATTATTAAATAGTACTCCTCCGGTCCTAATTATAAGACCCAATTGACTTATTTGAGGAAATTAAGGAAGTAAGTTAAGTTGGTTATTTATAATAAATAAGTGTTGTCATTCCTAAAATATCCTTGCTAATTAAGTATATTGGCTAAAACTATCATTATTAGAAGGATTATCTTGGAAAAAAAATATATAAATATAAGAGACAAAATGGATTGGGTCTTATAATTAGGACCAAATAAAAAGTCAAATTGGGTCTTATAATAAGGACCGGAGGAGTAGTATATTTTGACTTATTTCTTCTTCTTTTTTTCCAATCTTTATAATCAATATGAACAAAACTGAAAATGAAACACTAGAAGCGATACGAGTAACAAAGAAAAAGAATCAAAATCCCCTCATAAAATGAGCACCAAAGCAGTACGTTATTCACTTATTCTGAGATTTATTGATGATGATTGCGTTTCTTCCTTAAAATTTTGTCAAAAAACCAGGTTTTTGAGGCACAGTGAACCCGAGTTCCGATGGTACGCCCCACGAGGGCAATAGGGTCATTTCACGGCCACCGGCCTCAGATGATGGCAAAAGTACATTTTTAGCAACTTTGGCCCTCGAAGGAAAGTGGAGAATGAGGAAACAGTACACCACCACCACCCTCTCTCTCTCTCTCTCTCTTCTGTGCTTTTCTCCTCAAACTCAGACTAGGGAGTGAAGCGAGAGATTTTCCAAGGCCACCCATAAACGTCAACTAGCCTGTAACCCGATAGGCGTTATTATTAGTGGCAAAAAGATTACTGCAACCTCCCCACACAGAGCTAAAAAACCAGCCAGGAAGCAAGCTAGCTGGAGGCACACGTACGGTTTTTCTTTCCTGCTTCGTAATCATAAACAATTATATTCCTCATTTCCATTTCATTTTCCATCTTCTCCCCCATTTTGCCGGGGAAACCACTTTCTTTCCCTTTGTTTTCCGCCGGTATCGTTTTTCCATGGCTGAAACCGGTGTTGTCCGGTTTCCGGGGAGTTTAGACCCACGAGCGGAAGAGTTCACGCCGAGAAATCAAACTCTTTACCGGCCGGCTCAACTTTTCTACCCTTGCGCACCCACCGATGGTGTTCCGCTTCAGCCTTTACCTTTTTGTAATGCTGCTCCGGTTGGTGTTCCGTATCCGCCGTTCTGTTCTCCTGCGGCGTATGTTGGCCCCCTGGCTCCGCCGACCGCGACGACGACGACGACGCCGCCTCCGTCATCTTCCTCCCCCTCGCCCACCCGGTCGCTGCTGCTCAGCTCGGTGCCGGCGGAGGTGGTGAGCGAGTCGATGATAAGGAGGGAATTGGAAGTTTTTGGGGATGTGAGAGGGGTTCAGATGGAGAGGGTTCGGGAAGGAATAGTGACTGTTCATTTCTACGACCTGAGACATGCAGAGACGGCGCTAATGGCGATTCGGAAGCAGCACATGCAACAACAAACCAGGCTCCGTAATTTCTATTCCTCCATTTTGAAGTCCGGCAATTCAGCGTCGGAGCCGGATTGTTACTCCGTCATCGCCCCACTGCCCCCGCCGGCGCGTGGGCTGGTCGCCGGTCGTGCGGTTTGGGCCCAGTACATTGTCCCGGCGTATAACGCCGTCCCTCAAGGGCAGAACCAAGGGACCATCGTGATTTTCAATTTGGATTCGGCGGTGTCCACAGAAACTCTCCGACAAACATTCGAGGCATTTGGTAAAACGTTTCAGGCCAATTCCTTTTTTTTTCTTTCCTTCAATCTCTGTCTCTTTCTCTGCCATTGAAAGTAAAATTTCATGATTACCTTTTATGTTTCATCTCGTCGGTTTGCGATGTGCTTTAATTGGGTAGCCCATGAAGATGAGATCTGAAAGTGTTGTTTTGAAAAGGAGAAAGCTATTGGGGCTGATGTCGTTTTGCTTGTTTCATGTCGGAGAGATGACTTTTTTACTTTTTTTTTTTTGGCGTGGGGACTGTTGACTATGTTATAATGCCAGTGGGGTAATGTGGGTTCTGGGAGTGACATAGACACAGACTTGATGATATGTCTCTATCTCACTCTTTTTATTTACTTTTTATGACGTTTTCGACTGTCTCTGGTCCTCACACCGCTTTCCTTTTCTTTTTGGCCTTTCTTGCGGTTTTTTTTTTAAAGGTCCTGTGAGAGAACTGAGAGAGACGCCATTGAAGAGGAATCAAAGGTTTGTGGAGTTCTTTGATGTGAGAGATGCGGCCAGGGCGTTGAAGGAGATGAACGGTAAGCAAATTAACGGTATGGCCGTTGTGATTGAGTTCAGTCGTCCCGGTGGGCATGGCCGGAAGTTCTTCACCCACCCTACATTCTCCAAAAACGCAACGCCGTTGAACTTCCAACCTCCTCCTCCTCCTCCGCCGCCGCCGCCGTTCGCCCGTAAAAACGCACGTCGTTTTGCTGCTGTTTCTCCCCCGTCTCCTCCTCCTCGCGCTCATCTTCCTCAGCCCAAGAACAAGGCCAACGATACCGCTAATCTGGGAAGTGTGAACTCGGTTTCTTTGAGTGGGGTATTAGTAGAAGAGAAGCAACCGGAAGGGCCTGCGCCGGGGAATGCTGCCGTGAAGAACTGTGGCGGTGAGGCGGTGGTGGCGGGAAGCACGAAGCAACCCAGAAGTAGGAATTGGAAGGGGAAGCAAGGGAAAAAGCAGGAGACAAGGTTTCTAATTAAGGAAGATGCGATTGTGGAATCGAGTTGCAAAGATTCCAGAACTACTGTCATGATCAAGAACATACCCAACAAGTACAGGTCCGTCTGCTGCTTTCTTCCCTACCATGATTGTTCCTCACCATTTTTAGTTTTACTATATTCGATCTTCTCACCTCTTCCTTATATTTTATGAATAAAATAAAATAATCATTTAAACCATCATCCCCTCTGAAAATTGTGTTTGACCTGCGTTTTGTTGCAGTCAGAAGCTGCTATTGAACATGCTGGACAACCACTGCATCCACTGCAACGAGCAGATTGCCGGCGGCGGCGACGACCAACCATTGTCGTCTTACGACTTCGTTTACCTCCCCATTGATTTCAAGTATGTTTCACTATTCTCTTCATTTTTTGCCCTGGAAAATGAATATGCTTGCATGTAGTTCAGTTTTAATTTTAGCTTCTGCGTTTGAAACATGAAACAGCAACAAGTGTAACGTGGGGTATGGGTTTGTGAACATGACATCGCCGGAGGCAACGCTGAGGCTGTATAAAGCATTCCATCTTCAACATTGGGAAGTCTTCAACTCCAGAAAAATATGCGAAGTCACGTACGCAAGGGTTCAGGTAAATTCATGATGAGTTCATCATTGAAATATCCAAGCTTGTTCATTGCTAGAGTTTGTTGTAATAACTTGAAAAGACTGGGCCTTTGATGCTGTGAGAAGGGTTTGGATGCTTTGAAAGAGCACTTCAAGAACTCGAAGTTTCCATGCGAGATGGAGCATTACTTGCCGGTGGTGTTTTCTCCGCCTAGAGACGGTAGGCAACTGACGGAGCCACTTCCGATCGCGGGTCAGAAGCAGCCAGGAGAAGCCACTGATGTGGCCGACTGTAAAGCAATTAATGACGATGTTGACGATGGTGAGGACACAGCAGACGGCGGCGGCCGCGAACAGAAGCATGGCATGCAGAGCGGCAGGAGCAGCAGCGAAAACGGCGGCGGGGAGGTTGAAGATGACGACGACGATGATGACAGAAGAAGAAGTAGTGAAGGAGGAGAAGAAATGGGAAGAGATTAACAGAGAATGGATCTGCGTGCAGTGACATTTTACGATACGAATCACAGAGATCGTTGGTGAACGAGCCTCATCTGTATAGCTTAACCTGCCAGCCAGCTTCTTCTCTGTCATCATCATCATCATCAAAGTATTCATTTTGTTCTTTTTTAAGGCTTCTTGGTTTGGCCTCTTTGTTTAGGATTTTTGTTCTTTGTTGTTGCACTTGCATCCTCCTTCCTCCTCTTGGCACTGCAATTTCTGGTTTATTTTTATCAATAGTCATCATTAATTAATTAATTGTTCGTGCTTGAGAATCAAGTTTTTATTTTTTTCCCCCCATTCTCATGAATGATTTAAATTATCTTTTTTAAAAAAGCAAGAGTTTGGTGATTTGGGATGTGAGAATGTAAGGAGGGAGTGCGCGGGATACCACTGGATAAAAGGGAGGCCGCCTTCTGTCGGCGGTGCGAGGGAGGCAGGTGTCTGAGCACACAGCGTCTGATGCCGTACCCTCATTTTGCTCGCTCCTTCTATTCCAACGCCCTCCCCTTTTTTTGTTTTTTTTAATTTCTTTTGGGGAATTAAATTAGGGAAACATGGCAAAAAATGGCAAAAAAAAAACTGTCAAAATAAAAAAATTATACAGAGATTAGTTTATAAAAATCGTTATCAAAATTCGTACTATTATTCTCAAAAGTTACATTAATATTGTTATGAGTTCTTGTTTGTAGTTTTTTTATTTTGATGGTTTTTTTTATCACTTTTCCGATTAATTTATAAAAATCGTCATCAAAATTCATACTATTATTATCAAAAGTTACATTAATATTGTTATGAGTTCTTGTTTGTAGTTTTTTTATTTTGATGGTTTTTTTTATCACTTTTCCTTTTGAATAAAGAGTATTATTTTATTATTTATTCATGTAATAATAATTTGTTTCATTTGAATTCAGGTGGAACAGTTTCATTCTCTAATCAAGTCAGCACAAAATATTTGGTGGAATAAAACTATAAAGTAATTTTAGAATAAGGAGAATAATAATGACGTCCCAAAAAATTGATTTAATAACAGTTACATACATAGTAGTGAGGTTTTCAAAAAAATTTCTTTTGGGAAAAAATCAATTGCAAATATCGATTTAAATAATTACAAGTTTAGGAATTTTAGGCACAGGTAAGGAAAATTAGAGAAGTTAGAGAGTGACCTCGTGAGAATGAGAACGATATTTATTAAAAAAAAAATCTTAAAAATTATATCGCAATATAAATATAAAAATATTAAACGACTTCTACGGAAAATCCTATATTATCTCCCACCGGATCCCATAATCTCACGTGTTATACATGAACACAATCACATTTGAAAACTTAATGCTCACTTGAAAATTTTATTGGTGTATTGCATGGATATAGATATAATCGCTTGTAAGAATTTTTCAAACGTTGTAATAATCTGAGTTATGTCACAATGTGAGATGTTAAAAAAAAAAAACACATAATGCCACGAATAAAATCTAACACAACTGATAGGAAATTATACTCCTCCGATCCTTATTATAAGATTCCATTTGACTTTTTATTTGGTCCTAATTATAAGACCCCAATTCATTTTGTCTCTTATATTTATGTATTTTTTTTCAAGATAATCCTTCTAATAATGATAGTTTTAGCCAATATACTTAATTAATAAGGATATTTTAAGAATGACAACACTTATTTATTATAAATAACCAACTTAACTTACTTCCTTAATCTCATCAAATAAGTCAATTGGGTCTTATAATTAGGACCGGAGGAGTAGCATTTTTTGATCATGCTCCCCCTTTTAGCATTTGAGATGGATGGTGATGAGGAAACCTTGTTCCTTGTCTTTATACTCTTGTTCATCATCTTGTGAAGTAATAGCTCTCAGTTTTCTTTATACCTTTTTTGAGAGAGACAAAAGCTGTTTCTTTTTTCTTTTGATAACAAAAGAAACCTCATCCAGTAGTTACAGGATCTCTAACAAAGTAATGCGGTCTGAAGTCAAAATAGAAACTACAAGGATATTTGGGTAACCCAAAAAATATTTTTTAGAAATATTTTTTTACAAATACTTATTCATGTATTTATCGTAAAAATATTTTTAAAATTATAATTTTATTTCCACCTAGATACCTCTAGGTACCTAGGAATGACAGTAACAACATGAAAATCAGGAATAGCATTAAGACCACTCTGCCAAAAAATCTGCTGCTTTGTTCTAGTCCCTGCTAAGAAGGGATCTGATCTCTGGAATGATATGGGAGTCTTCATAGTAGTCAGCCGGGTCAACAATGAGCAGCTCCACAGCATTCGACGCATCAGACTCAAGGACAATATTGCGGCAACTTTCAATAGTATCTACATCTCAAAAAGATTAGCTCCTAATTATTAGCTGTAATATACTAATTACTTTCGGTTTATGAGAATTGAACAATTAATTTGAAGATATTAAAAAAATTAGTTAAATTAGTTATTTATCACAAATTTGTGTTAGTTTTTTTAAAATATAAGCTAGAATTTGTTAGATGGCTTAGTTTTTTTTTATAAGATAACATTCATTTTTGTCTAAGTATTTAATGAGTTTTTTTTTTCAAATTTTATCTCCGAATACTATCTTTCTATTTGATTCATTTATTACATCTTTTATTTATTCTCTGCATTAATAAAAATATATTTAAAAAAATACACACCTTATATACTTATTATTTTAAACTGATTTTAACTAGTTTGTTAATAAACATAAATAAAAAAAATTTATTTTATATTTTGAATAAGAGAGAGTACTCCATAATTATACTACTTCCGATTCTTAATATAAGACTTTGTTTTACTTTTATTTTAATCTTAATATAAAATCTCAATCTATTATGTTTCTCATATTTATTTATTTATTTAAGATAGTTCTTCAAATAATAGTAGTTCTAGCTTATCAACTTGATTGATAAATATATTTTAAAAAAAATAATACCTATTTATTATAAATAACTAATTTAACTTATTTTTTTAATTTATTTAAATTATCTTTAATGAGAAGGGCGGAGAATACGAAGGTGAATAGGTGATGGGCGTCTCCACGTTCACCGAAAAAAAGGAACAAGAAAGAAAGAAAGGTTTGAACTTTGAACTTTCTGGGATAGCAGTCAACAACGACACAACACAGCGACTGGGCGGACTGCGGACCATTCTCCCTTCTATCACTATCAGCTCCTTCTTCTTCCGGGGTTTTGCCACGTGCCCCCACCTGATGTTGCCCACTCCTTGCATCCTTCCCAAAATTTATCTGCAGGTGATTGTGTTTTTGTTTAATCTGTATTCAAAATAAACCTGTACCCAAATTATGTCCACCTTGGAAAGAATTTTCCCCAACACGTCCCATCCATTCCTTCATTGCAATTTACTCTTCCATTACTTCACACAGACTACCTTAGGCTTAGTTCATGTACCTAAATCATTTCTGTCTTTTTAAATGTATTCCTTTGGTTTGGTTTTATTTACAGAACAGAAAAAAGAAAATTTTTTATTCTATTTATAAGTTATTTTATTAAATTTTTAACATAAATATATTATTTTGTCTTTTATTTATTATAGTATAGATAATTATTTCTTTTGAAAGGTGTATATATTAAATATAGGTAAAGTTAAAAAATTGTTATATTTGAATAGAGAGTTAATATATTTTAAAATTTTTCTTAGTTTGTGTGAAATATATTAAAAGTGCTTTATAAGTAGAACTAAAAGAGTATCCTTGATTAAATGTACTCTCTTCTTTAGTCCTAAAATTTTAACCGGACCTTATGCTATCTCCAATTTAAATATAAGAGTTAATTAAGGAGTTTGATTTGATTTTAAATATAATATCTCAATTTACTTTGCTTATTAAATTTTTATTTTTTTAAATTATTCCTATTGATTGAATATATTATAATGAACCTCCATTAATAGGGGTAATGATTAAATGAAATTTTTAAGAGAATAAACACGCATTTATTATAACTAACTAACTCATATAATTTTTTAATATCTATAAATTAATTATATAACTCTTATATTTAGGATTGGATGGAGTAAATTAAGAAAAATAGATAAAGATTTTAACTAATAGCCTTAGAGCCTGTTTGGTTAAGCGGTATGATCTCAAATAAGCCCGTTTAAATTCAAATAAGTGCTTATGAAACATGTTTAGGGTGTCTGGATAATTTTTACAAAATCCCGATGAATCGTGATTTTAACCTTCCACCGCACTTTTAGGATAAGTAATAAGAAATAGCTTATGCGTTTGAAAAATCCCGATGAATCTTCAGTACCTAAACTTTTTCCAATCTACCCCTCATTCTAATGGTAATTATTTTATTTTTTTTAAAAAAACATACAATATGAAACTGTTTTTCTTTTAATTTTATCTAAAAGACATTTTTAAAAAAATTAGATAACGAATGACATATGATTGAAACAACGCGATCAAATATTCAAGTAATATTCTAATTCGAGGAGCATCATTAAATTAAGAAAATAATGATGACAAATAATTTTTCAGCTTATTTTTATATTTATTATTGTTATTTTATCTAAAATGATATCTTTGCAAGAACTCTTTCAAAAATCTCTTTTCAAATATTATCTCCATATATTTTGCCTACAATTTTTCAACCTAAACGGCTAAGCCACTTTAAATTTTTTCTTAAAAGGCCATCATCTCACCTTCTTGGATCAATCAAGCAATCAAAAGGTATGTTTCCTTCTTTATTTGTTCACTTTCTTTATGCAAGTTGGAATTCAATCATCTTATTCTCACAAATTTACAATCTCCAATACTCACGATACCTCTTGCGAATGACCGCCTTGAATACTTGTGATTGTTTCTTGATTCCTTTTTCTTATATGGGGTCTTTTATTTAATATTTGTACTACACATAAATTTTGTAAGTGATTTTAAATAATAATAATTTTAAAATAAAAACAATATCTAAATATTCATGTCATTTATTAAATTATATTTAATAAAATTTATTATTAAATATAATAATTATGAAAGTGTAAACAACTTTATTAATTTCATGTCATTTTTAGTAATTATACACCCATAAGTGATTTTAATAAATAAAAACCAAACATAATCACAGTTCTTAAAATTACTTATAAAAAAATATATCCAAATAGAAATCACGATTAACCAGCGTCACTTATAAAATTCAAGATTATCTAAAATCACAGTTGTTTACCGCTAATCCAAACTGGCACTTAATCTTTTAATTCTTTTCCAAACCT